GGAGAGTTTGAGAAATCAGGGGTAAAATTACAGTGTTCGACTGAGGAGAGGGAACGACTTTTGGTTCGAGTTAATGGGAGGTTTGAATAATTGAAGGTTTGACAAATCGGGATTCCACTGTAATACTACACTAGAAATTCAAGGGGCGTGGTAGGGTTGACACAAAGGACACATTGTATGCTACTAATACATGTACAAAGTATGTATACACAGCCATTTTCATGTTTCAAGTGGAAACAAAAGCATCTGAGTCTGGTTATCGTACCTTTGATTTTGTAATCCAGAGTTGTGGAAATAGAAGTACTTTGAGCCTCTTTTGAATGGGCAGCCATACTTTGGATAGTCCCACAGTTCTGTCAACCTATAACACAGAATGGAAACAACTGAAAATTGCACTGCACCACCTGAAGTACAAGGTGGTACTAGAGAATTTTGGAAGTGGTCTCACTCTAAGGTCTTAGATTTTGTGACACCCCTGTTGTGTTTTGTTTTGTTGTGTTTTCTTCTAGGGGCTCACCCTATGGCCATATGGTCTTGTCTATCTAACATGGTGCAGTTGACAGGCGAAATGGTGATGAATTTTCTTCTCAACGGAATCAACATCGGTAAATCTCGGCTTTACAAGAGATTACAAAATATTAAGTCTGTGGCAACTAAATTCCACTATTTAAGGACTTCAAGTTATTCTCCTGTGGAGGGGGATGGAAGATGTGGTGATGTGTTCCCTACTAAGGGACTGGGGCCAGCCCCGAGACCACATTTTCTAGTCTATCTAACAGTCCCTTACAGCATATGTACAATGTACAGAGAATTATTGTACAATTAAGATATAGAGATAACCTCGAATTGTATATCAAAACTTGCGCAGAACCATAAGTTTTCTATGCTTCTGAATAGGCCATGTTCAATTTCATAAGATCGACATTCCAACATGGCTCCAAGGCTTTCAGGACAAACCTCTATATTTACATGTAGTGGTGTTTTCTTTGTATGCAAGTCTCTTTTGTCTCTTTTGGAAATTGAGGGACAAAGAAAACTTGTTAAATTTGCAATTTTGCCCTGAAAACCTCGGAGCCATGTTATAATTTTAATAGTACCGAACATGGCATTTTTTAGAGCTGTTGTCAAGGAATAATAACTAAACTGAAAGAATAACTGAACTCAAAGAATAATTACTGAACTGGCAAAGCCGCACACTGTTGCACTATTTATGTAACCGTATTGTTACGTACGAGGTGACCTCAACTAAAAGCCTGATGGTTTCTAGAGGTCACCTTGCCTCACATTAAAATATTTATAAATACTGTACATTAAGTTAAAAGGCAAATAAATAAATAAACAAACAAATAAACAAACCCCGTAACATTTGCTACGGATGAGTATGCTTAATGGGCTTATGATCTTTAGTCACATGTATGGGTGAACTCGCCTGTTAATGCTACAGTTCACCCAGAAAACAACAAGTTGGTTACTGGTGTGAAGATCAAGGTAACAGGTGACTCAAAAATTAATGACAGCCTTGTGTGATAAATTTATACAAGAAGCCAAGTAACAATTGATGGGGCTATTGTGTTTCCCCGAGCTTTCCAATCGTTAGCATATTTGTCGACTACATAATTTGACTGCATAAAATACCATAAGGACTAGATTGGCGAGTTCAATTTCTTGCATTTTTGAAATCAGATCAGAGTAAAGCTACATCAGGTAAAACCAAAGCCATTACAGGATCGAAGAGGACATCTCCTTCTCGCGGCGTGCTATTAAACCGGCAAAACTAATTCGTCTCACCTGGTTTTGAAGTTTTCTCGTGTTTCACAGTCAGCTAGGTAAGGCATCGTTATGGCATTTTGTTGTTCTACAAAAGCCTCGGTTTCTTTCGAGTCTGGATCTTCCAACCAAACATAAGGATCAGAAATCTTCGTGCCATGATAGTCAGTTATGGCGCTTTCATCTCGACGAACCTTTGGGTAAGAGAAACGTTCAGGCGCCATTTTGAGTCTTCTACGTGGAGGACTGGGCTGACCGCGAAAGATTGGCACGACTGAATGACATCATCAGTGTGCTGAAAATAACACGCACTGGGTGCAAAAAAAAAAACATTGCAGTCATGAGCAACCCACGCTCAATTTGCACAGATTATTATCGGCCGCTCTTTAAGTATAATGGTTGATGTAGAAAGACGAATGTAACTGAGGAAAAACAAAAACAACAAATAGCAATAATTTTGAATGACACAAGACATTTCTTTTTTTTTTTTTGAAAAGCGCAGCCAACGCGACAGTCAGCAAAATAGCTAACGAGGCAAATATTGAACTATGCTAAGCCGCTCAATAGCATTAGTCCTCAATTTTGATTTGTTTACCCTTATAAAACCATGACCTAAGCTGAAAAAAATTGCAGATAAGTTTCGAGCCATGATCTCACTTGCTTTATAAAGACTTCTTAGGAAAGGATCTCAAAGGTCAGCGAAAACCATATTTTCAATCATAAACCATGAATAAGAATCTCATTTCAATGAATTGGTTACTTGTAGAGTACTGGGAAATTTTCTGAGAAATCCCTCTGATTTGAACTCTGCAAGCAACATAACATCCAGGCTGAAACTTGTTTTCTTTTTTTAACTTCCTATTTTTCAGATCATTTTAAACTTATTTCTCTATTAGTAGCTGGGGTATACCCCTGACGTCTTACATCATTTGCCTTGGCATGCCTGAGCAAAAATGCTGACTCGAGCGTTATTTGTGAAATGAATAACCATAAATAAAAATCTCTTTTCAATGAATTGGTTACTTGTAGAGTACTGGGAAATTTTCTGAGAAATCTCTCTGATTTGGACTCTGCAAGCAACATACCATCCTAGCTGATTTTTTTTTTTTTTTGATATCCTATTGTTCAGATCGCTTTCAAGTTCTTTTTCTGTCCTTAGCAGGGGAATACCCGTGACTGTCACACCAAAAATGCTGACACAATTGATTGGTCGTATATCGTAAAGACCGCAAAGGTGTCAAGAAATAGCATTTTCAAGTATTTAATTTTCGGGGCTGACTGAAACGTTTAAATTGTATTGAACAAAATCATAAATATCGTACTTCAAGGGCAGAGTTATTTTGACTATTTACAGTGACCTTGTTACTTATCTTCAAAACCCATTCAAGCATATAGCAGCTGACTAAAGCAGACCTCTTTATTTTGTAAGCAAATTAGACTGTTTGCTAAGGAAACTTACGGCGTGTATGGCCTGAACCATTATAATAGAATTCACTTTTCTCACACGAGGAGGAATGGAATCAAATCAATACCATCGAAATTTCCGTCTTTCCTTTGCTGTTGTTTACAAAAGTGTGCTTTTCGGATTACTGAGCAAATTTAACTGCTGTATCTTCTTGTCGGTAATGAACAGAGCTGGGTGTGATCAATGTATAATTTAATAATATAAAAATTATGGACAGTGAGTGTATAACGTCGGCCAAGGGCCGGGGCAGTTAGATCCCAAGCGGTGACTAAATCATGAGTCGGTATCTTGGTGTTCATCTTTAAATGAAATGCTGCGTGTAAAAATATTTCACTTCGAACTATTCACTGTTTACTGAACAACGTGGAATGAGCCATGAACATGACGTCACCGCAGCAAAAACACAACCGTTCTTGCACATGAATAGCATTGATCAACACAATGATCGGTCATGTAACAAGGCAGTATCATTTACAAACACAGTTTCGCGGTGCTTACTGCTCGTAGTGGGGTACTATGCATCAAACAAGCATCTTACAAAACTACGCGCAACGAAAAGAATTAGATACCGAGTAGCATTTACCGACAATACTTTAAATTAAAACTGTCCGTGACAGCTGACCCACTTCAGTGTTCTAAGCAAAGGAATTGTGTTAATTCAGGTAAATCTGACGTCTAACGGTTAAAGTGTTAAGATGTAGGCTGTAAAGTCTCTCCTGTGCCGTATTTCCCTATAATCAAAACAGAAAACATCAATGAATGAGATCAAGGAAGTTTCATGTTTCCTTACTTTAAAGAGTTTAATACGAAAAGGAAAAAAAACATAAGACTTGCCACGATGTTTGTATCAACTCGGTCTGATCACAAGTCAACGTGTAAGTGTTTCACGCAAAGCTGAATCAAAAGATATCACAAGGGATACGGGTCTGTTGCTTCTAGTTTCGTAGCCAGATCGCGTGATGATCGAGTAAATGATTAGAAGGAAGAAACGTTAGGGCCGCGCCTCGGGATGGCTTCGCGCGGTTTTCGTCCCGGCGAGTTTCGTCCCAGGAAAAAGAAAACAGAATGAAGCTAGAATATTAATTTGCAACTTTTTTAACAAAATAAGCCGTACGTAAATATAAATATGAAACAAGAATGAACGCTAGAAATAAAACTAGAAAATTTTACCATGACGACTGAAAAATCTTCGCGTGGCAGTTTTTAGCAGCGCGCATTTTCTACTTTTCGGTTTTGACACAAAACTTTTGCCAGATATATGACGCCTCAGAAAAATTAAAGCTTTTGAAATCCCCTTATTACCTCGCCACAATTTTCTTGATATTGAAACAACCGCAGTAACCTTCTCAGCACAACCTCTCGTCATGTTCTTGTGGCTGCTTCTCATCTTCGTTCAACTCATCTTCTCCTCTGATCTCCCTCATGTCTCTCTGAGCCACTGCTCCTTCGTCACCCTCTAACAATTTTGAAACCAACAATGCAACTATTCCGCCGATGGCGACAAGCACAGCACTCCGCAAAATTTCTTTGCCAGGAAACATCACTGAGAAGTTCCGACTGCACCCTGAACTCGTTTTCAAAGTGAATGTAGCTTGATTGAAGCAGTTAATGCCTTTAACGGTCTGCTGATTCCTCTGGGGCTACAAGATGGTAAAGTAAATTTCCTAATTTCAAAGGTAAGGAGCAATTGTTCATTTCAGTCTGAATCGCAGGATTCCTAAACTATAGCCTTTCCTTGTCAATCGCTGGTTTTGTTTCTGCACTAGGCGCAAGGCACTTTATATACCATAAAATCTGTGAAAATTAAGCGTGGGTTGCACATGATTGCAATGTTTTTTGTACACAGTGCGTGATTTTCAGCACAGTGATGATGTCATTCAGTCGTACCAATCTTTCGCGGTCGGCCCAGTCCTCGACGTAGAACACTCAAAATAGCGTCTGAACGTTTCTCTTATCCGAATGTTCGTCGAGATGAAAGCGCTATAACTGACTATGGTCGCACGAGGATTTCTGATCCTTATGTTTGGTTGGAAGATCCAGACTTGAAAGAAACCAAGGCTTTTGTAGAAGGCGAATTTTGGGCTCTTCTCGCTCCCAGGAGTTCGCGCGGCCAATTTTTCCTCGCGTTTTATATACGTTCTTGCTCGACGGACTAAGCGAAAGAGGGATTACTCGTTTTCTAAAATTTGCAGTCACGTTTGGAAGGTTGCTTGCTACGGAAACTTAATGGCATGTATGGCCTTAACCTTTATTCAAGAATTCAGGTTTCTTCCATCCTCAGAGACCCACGGGCTACTAGTCGGGACGAAGCGATATTTTCGGGCGAGAGATATCTTAGGGCGAAAGTTTACTTCAAGAGCAGACAAGCTTGTCTGCTCTTGAGGTAAACTTTTGCCCGAAGATATCGCTCGCCCGAAAATATCGCATCGTCCCGACTAGCAGCGCCTGGGTCTCCGAGGATGGGTTTCTTCTCACTTAGGCGGCATAAAATCAATACCATCGAAGTTTCCTTTCCTCTGTTGTTGCTTACGAAACTAACCACAATAATTTGTGCCCTTCGGCAAAATTTGTGACATTTATTTAACTGCTGGAAGTAAGGTGGATTTGTATATATCCCATGATGCATTGCCCCCCGGTATACTTCCAATAATGGTCTATACTGGGAGGCTCCGCCCGAAAGGGGTACCGTTGTCTAGCTTCAGGTAAATATAAGGGTAAGGATTTATCAAGTTGAGGTATATGAAAGGGTACAGGAAAAATCTGTCATGTAGTTATTCTAAAGGGCCTTTAATTAAAATTTTTCGAACAGATGCACCTTAAGACTGTACTGATTTAGTTCATTAGGCATGTTACAAAACTACGCACAAAGAAAACAGTTAGATATGACATGTACAAAACTCAACTTTGAAACTGTCCGTGACAACTACTGACACACTTCAGTGTTCCAAACTAGGAATTGTGGTAATTCAGGTAAATCTTTTGTCTAATGTTTAAAGTGCATATGAATTGAAAAATAATTGGTACTTATTTGATAGGCTTTTCAAAATAAAGAAGAATGGCGTTTCTCTTTTTGGAATATCTTCTTTTGTTCTACGGATATTTTTGTACTATGTAAATGAGGAAAGTCATGATGTCATAAGCAGTTCCACTTAAACAGTACAACACTGAATCAAGAATATCTCTGGAAATATTGGTGTGGTGTTCTTCAAACGTGGCGCCAGAAATGTATGTTACAAAAGAAACAAAATGACATCCATTGTATTGTTGCCATTTCAACACTCTTGGCTCCAGTCTCTGTCTTTCAAAAACTAAATGTTCCCATTTTCAACCCTTTAAAGTTGGTCATAGGATCCTGCTCAGAACACACAAGGTGCCCATATTGTCTTACACTTCTCATTAGATTGTTGGGAGCGGATGATCCTTAGTTAAGGTAAAAACTGGGAATTCCAGTTTTAATTGAAACAGGCCTAGAGGCAAAACTATTGTCATGGCAATGACACACATGCAATGACACAATAAGAGTCATTTTGTTTCTTTTGTGATGTACATTTCTGATGCCAAGTTAGAAGAACACTGCTCTAGTATTTCTGGTGATATCCTTGATTCAGTGTTGTTCTGTTTTAGTGAAACTGCAAGTATGACATCATCACTTTCCTCATTTGTGTAATACAAAACGTAAATATCTCTAGAACGAAAGAAGATATTCCAAAAAGAGAAACACCACTCTTCTTTACTTTGAAAAGCCTTTCAAATAAGCGCAATCATTTTTCACTTGCTATGCATTTTAAAGTATTAAAATGCTGGCTGTAGTAATGTCTCTTTTGTGCTGAATATCCCTAGAATCAAAACAGAAAACATCAATGAACAACAGATCAAGGAAGTTTCATGTTTCCTTATTTTAAAGAGTTAACAAAAAGAAAGATCTTTACAAATTATGTATATCACCTCGAAAGGGTGTCCGTGGTTCCTTAAAAAGGTCAGTCTGGTAACAATTGAGTAGGTATTTCTCGTGAAGCTGAATCAGAAGATATCACAATTAGGGATATGGATCTATTGCCAGTCGAAAATCCTCCATGTCCTCCATTTTTAAACACTGCTGATCACGGCTGTTTCATTTTTTCACACCAGCAATCCGTGAATATTTTGACTTCCATTCAAGGTTTCTCTGTTTTCAAACAACCAATCGCAAAAGTTCAAATTAATTCTAAAATCCTATGTCCCCACAGCCCTTCGTTCTTGTGCCAAGGCCCCGCCAGCTAAGAGAAGTGAAAAGGGCTATGAGGATGAGAATGACATGGTGTAGTCAGCAGGAGAAATACTGTCAAATTTTCTTCTCAACATGCTCACCATCTGCCTAGAACAGCAACCTTCAGCTTTAGACAAGTTTATGAAGAATTGAGCCCCTGGCAACTCAATTCCACTTATAAGAAGATTTTGAGTTCTTCTCCTGTGGTGGGGGGTGGAAGATGTTGTGTTGTGTTCCCCACTACGGTGCATTCCTGTATCATGAGTCCAATGAGTCAATGAGTCATGAGTCAATGAGCCATGAGTCAAGTTATGGATCAGGTCAGCAGTTTCACTTGGAGCCTTTCCAAGATGGCGGGGAAGCATGCAGTGTCCAATCTTCTGATATCCACAGTGTTCATTGCTTTTGTCCTTGAAATTTTGCTTGCTTATCGCAGTTTGTGCCCTAAATTTTTTTGTGAAGTTGTTTTGTTTTCCAATGTTCATCTGCCCACAGTAACACAAATTGGGAGCTTGAAAGATACTAGAAGGCAAGGAAGGGCAAGCAACCACAGTGTAAAAAATGCAAGACTGTTGTAAATGATGGCAGTCTAAGTAGCTCATGGAATGTGGTCACCACCGCACATCAACTCCAAAGGGGAGACGTTTTTAATTCAATCAAAATTTTACTTTTGTTGAAATGGTATTTGCTGCCAGTGCACCCCAGTTGGCAGCTCCATTGAAGCACCCAAGCAAATCAACATAAGTGAGGTGCTATTGCAAGTACTTGAGCACAAAGAGTTTGAACTGATCAGCAACCTTGGTCTACCGTTCTTATGGTCATAATGCCAGTGTCTTTTTACCTCTTTGCATGGTATTTTGAACAACATGGCCGTGTAAGTCAGCCAATTAGATTGCAAGTTTTATAAAACCCTTATTGGTATATTGTTATGTGGGTCTTGCTCCTTGGGTCTTGCATTCACTTCTCAGCACTCATCTGAAATATGCTGTATTGATGAATTTATGAATCAGTATGTTGTTTTAAGTTTTGTTGTAGTTCAAGTTTTGTTGTACTCCTCCTAATCTGCATTGCAAAACAGATTTCTGTTGTTGATGATTGGTTTCACATCCTTTACATGTGGAAAACATTACTGTTTTGCAAGCTTGCATTTACATTTTAACATGCCTGGCATGCTATGCAGTAGGCATATCTTAAATGATAGTAAACATTTGCATTATTTCCAATGAATAAATTAACATTTTTATCAAGGTTGAAGTTGTGTAATGTTGTTTTGTGTTGCTTTTTGGTTATCCGACAACGTTCACTAACTCGGATATGTTTCTATTGTCTTGATGACATCATTCACATTGATGGCATCATACCATGGATGGAGGGATAAAGTAGGCCTAGGGGAGTGGCTTTTCACACAAAAAAAGGTGGAAATAGAACTACAGTAAATGTATGGCATTTTTGGTGGATTTTGACGATGCATGTTTTGGGGAAGTGGCTTTTGACAAACATCCATTACAAAAATTATTTTTGTCTTGACGTTCAGTTCTATTGCATTGGCTGCCATATTGGATATTGATCTTATGACCTGTGTCATTAATGTATTCAGAAATTTGCTCCAGCGACAGTAGTAAACCCTTATCGGCTACACATGACATGTTGTTTATTGGTGCCTGCTTAGGTTCCAAAGGTTCTACACTAGGTTTAAAGTTGGCAAACAGTATATTTTCTACCATATCAGGTGATATTCCGGTCAGTAGGTCTCTTGTACGAGATCAGTTGTGATCAAGCGATGGCTGTCACCCATCTTTTCCGATCCATTTCACCAAGAAAATTCCAAGGTCTTTTGCTGTGAGTAACGTCCTTTGAATAATTTCAACCCCTGAACTTGTTCATCTATTAAAATGAATTCGAGAAACAAAAATCATTGCACAGCGAACCACCAAATTCACAGTCAGCACTTACTCCAATTTTTGCAGCGTCCGCCATTTTGAATTTTGAAAACCGCTGACCTGACTCATAACTTGACTTATGGTTCATTGACTCATGACTCATGACTCATTGACTCATTGACTCGTGTTTCCCGAATCCCCTACTAGGGGACTGGGGCCAAGCCCACGGCCACATTGCATTGCCTCTATAAATGTAACAGCTTTATGTACAATTGTACAAAAGATATCTGGAGTAGATGTATTTATACATTGAAATAGTATATCATCAAAACTTGTGCAGAACCGTAAGTTTTCTATGCTTCTGAATAGGCCACGTTTGGTATATCAATATTCTAACATGGCTCCAAGGCTTTCAGGACAAACTTCTATATTTGGTTGTGTTTTCTCTGTACAGTTTTGTATCCAAGTCTAGTTTTGGGAACTGAGAGACAAAAGAAACCTATTAAATTTTAGATTTTGTCATGAAAGCCTCAGAACCATGTTTGTTAGAATTTTGATATATCGAACGTGGCCTATTCAGGGCTGTCATTAAGGACCGTGACACGAACAGTAACATCTTCCACGGATGAGTATGTTTGTTTGATGGGCCCTTGATGCTGCGGGTGGATTTGCCAGATGTTGACACAATTTGCCCAGAAAACGACAAGTTAATTACGGGTGCGAAGATCAACGAAACAGGTAGCTCAAAACTTAATGACAGCCTGGTCTGAATAAGGCCATTACAAGAAGCCAAGTAACAATTAGGCTTTTGTGTTAAGCGCGCATGTACAGAGTACATGTATTTGTCGAATCCACTGACTACGAGTACCACCTGAAGGACATTGGCGAGTTCAATTTCTTGCGTTTATGAAATCAGATCAAAGCTAAGTTACATCGGGTAGACCGACCAAAGCCAATACAGGATCGAACGGGACATCTCCTTCTCGCGGCGTGCTAACCGGCAAAAATTAATTCATCTCACCTGGTTTTGAAGTTTTCTGGTGTTTCACAGTCAGTTAGGTAAGGCATTGTTATGGCATTTTGTTGTTCTACAAAAGCCTCAGTTTCTTTCGAGTCTGGACCTTCCAACCAAACATAAGGATCAGAAATCTTCGGGCCATGATAGTCAGTTATAGCGCTTTCATCTCGACGAACCTTTGGGTAGGAGAAACGTTCAGGCGACATTTTGAGTCTTATATGTGGAGGACTGGGCCGACCGCGAAAGATTGGTACGACTGAATGACATCATCAGTGTGCTGAAAATAACACGCACTGTGTACAAAAAACATTGCAATCATGAGCAACCCACGCTCAATTTTCACAGATTTTTATTGGCCGCTCTTTAAACATGATGGTTGATGTAGAAAGACAAATGTAAAAAGGACAAACAAAACAACAAATAGCAATAATATTGAATGACACAAGGAACTTTGTTTTGAAAAGCGCAGCCTACGGTACAGTCAGCAAAATAGCTAACGACGCAAATATTGAATAATGTTGGGTCGTTAAAAGCATTACTCCTCAATTTCAATTTGTTTACCCTTATAAAACCATGACCTAAGCTAAAAAACATCGCTGACAAGTTTCGAGCAATGATCTCACTGCTTTATTAAGACTTCTTATGAAAGGATCTGAAAGGTCAGCAAAAAAAATATTTTTTCAATTATAAACAACCATGAATAAATCTCATTTCAATGAATTGGTTACTTGTAGACTACTGGGAGATTTTCTGAGAAATCTCTCTGATTTGGACTCTGAAAGCAACATACCATCCAGACTGAAACTTGTTTTCTTTTTTTAATTTCCTATTTTTCAGATCATTTTAAACTTATCTCTAAGTGAGTAGCCGGGGTATACCCCTGACTCTGACATCATTTGCCCTTGGCATACCTGACCAAAATGCTGACACGAGCATTTTTTGTGCAATTTTCAACTACTCGGCGTCGGAGCTGCACTGCAAGTTATAGAGCTGTGGAAAAGAACCTCCGATCTACAAGTGAAAAGGTAGTTTTCTGTTTTCATTTTGCAGTTTTTTCTTTTTCTTTTTTATGCGTTCACTGTTTACTTTATTATTTTTTTTTATTGATTTTTGCTAACTTAAATTAGTGATTTAAAACAACTGTGGATTAACAAGGGCTGAGTGAAAGCCGCGGAAAGGAAAAGTTCTGCAAGGTAAGTAAAACTTCATACCTTAGAAAACTTTCCAGGTTTGGTAAAGTAGTTTGGACGCAGAAGGGGAACGGAGGGAAATTTCCTATGCATGCTACTGGCATTGCAAAACAGAATTAACCTACGTGCAAAAATTTCGACGTCTTGTTATGCTGACTAATTGAACCGTTACTCTGGCCGTCACGCAACGCTTCCCTGAGGGAAAGACATGCATAAGGCCATTCAGTATATCAATCCATAATTCCAAAAATTAATATCTTTATTTACTTGTAGAATAGCTCAAGGCTTATCAAAGCAAGAGCGCTTAACGTTATTTAGGTAAATCCAGAATACTCTGGAGCGGTTTGAACTCAAAACACAACTGACGTGATTGAATCCCTTGAAATGTTATTTCCGGTCACAAGACTGTGTGGGTCACGCTTGAGTCTTCGCTGATACAACGTTGTAACCAAAAATACATCAAAACAAGTTCTTGTATGATTTGATTCAACAGTTATTTATGTTATTTCTCCCCACAAACCACCCAGAATACCGCAGGCATCAATCTGCTGGTGTCCTGCTGGCTTGC